TGTGCCATCTGCTGGGTGCACTCTGCATTGTCAGGTTCTTACAACTCATTAAACCTGTGGTACACACATATATATTTATAATTTATCCAAAATAAACGGTATTCCGTAGCCACTGTTATCTAAACACCTGATATTTCTTTGAAGTGTATCCAGAATTTGATCATAATCACAACTACAAAGAAAAAGATCTAACCCTAACTTTAGCCTAGGATCAAAACTACCATCTTTTTCTTTCTGTCTCTGAGCACAAACTTATTTTAAAACGTCAAACCAGTCCTGATTTGACGTTATTTTAAAATGTCAAATCAGTCCTGTGCAAACTGTAAATAAAAACAGAATGCAATGATTCAAGAATCTCACAAACCCACATTTTACTCATAAAACTACATAGAAACCATGTCAAATGCTTAAACTGAGAAAATGTATCACTTATGAGCTCATTTTAAATTTGATGACACCAACACATCTCAGAAAAGGACAGTGCTATGTTTACCACTGTGTAGCAGCCCCCCTTCTTTTATCAACAGTCTGTAAACATCTGGGAACCGAGAAGACCAGCTGTTGGACTTTTGAGAGGAATGTTGTCCCATTCTTGTCTCATGGAGGATGTTGGACTGCTCAGAAGTCCTCATATTTTTGGTTTCATGATACTCTAGTGTTTTCAGCCAGTAAGTCACATGTACTTTTTTACAGATTGGTCAACCTCTGTCCATTTACTCCTGGGTATAAAAAGAACATCAGCTGACTTGTTCCCAATTAACCTCATTAGTCGCGAATTGTTCCTCGAGCTGTTTCCTTTTAGCACCACTTCCTTTTACAGCCTTTTGTTACCCCCATCCCAACTTTTTGAGACATGTTACTGCCACCACAGTCAAAATGAACTCATTTTTTTTTTCTCGAAATAGCAAAAGGTCTCAATTTAAAATGTTATGTTTTCAATGTTCTGTTATGACTAAAATATGGGCTTATTGGATTTTCAGATCATTGCATTCTGTTTTAATTTACATTTTACACAATGTCCCAATTTTGGGAGGGAATGTGGTTTGTATTAGAATGAAGATCAAAAACTTTGTGTAATTATTTGTTGTATTTTCGGTTACATGTCACTGCATGCTGTGGGTGAACAAATCCTGATCATCTCACTGTGTAATGATACGAGGAAGTGCTGATACTATTCACTTAGATAAGTGCCAATACTAGATGGAAATAATAAAGCATTACAAGGAAAGGAGCTCCAGGTGGTCTTACTTAAATCTTACTTAAATGTATCTTTTAGATAAAAGCTTTTGTAATGCGCTTACTTTTACGCTTAATTTTTTCAGTTGTTTTCAGTATTTCATTATGAATAAATTTGTATTCATTCATCTTTTTAGATAAATGTCAAGCATTGCATTACTTAACCTTTAAGATAAATGCAATACAATAAAAAGGAGATTTTTTTTAGCGTCGCATGGTATCTTCTTTGCAGTGATTCTAATATGTTTTTCTATTAAGCTGGTGAATTATCATCATCTAGGACAAGTCCAAGACTGATTTTGGAAACATCTTTGGTAACTAAACAGTCACAGCTGTGGAGTTTCTGGACTGCATTCTTTAACAACCAAACACTACTGTCATTTCCTTTCCTGCCTAGTTCTGCAGTTTCCTTGAATTTCCCCATCAATAGAGTTTGAGTTTCTGTAGGTGTGGGGGCCCACTTTCATTTATTGTGCTACTTTGCATTAATATAGTGCATTAAAGTCTTCCATCTGCCATATCGTCTGTTGATGGGTCTCTGAAAAACGTACCCTCATGTAAAACTCTCGCCCATCGTTGCCCGACTTTATTTGGAAGATGTAGAAGGCGCCGGGATAGCGCGTGGTGGCCTGCATCTGGAAGATATCTGCAGGCACACTGCGCCCCGACGACATGTCCATGTGTCGGTACAAAATGGTGAAGGGCTTATCCCTGCAGGCAGGGTTCTCAGCAGAACACATACACTGACTGCCAAGGAGGAGACATGGTCACTTTAAGCTTTAGAGGATATTTTAAACAAATGAGCAGTGAAACAGTTTAGAATTTGGTGTTAAAAGGCGTCTAGAGAAAGCGAAGCAGTAAAACTCACTTGTCACTAACTTCGACGTAAGGAGGGTTGCACTGTAAAGGATTCAGGCATGTATAGCTTCCCTGGAAATTGAAACACACTTGTGCTGTTGTACAGGTGTTGTTACCAGTGTCACATTCATTGACATCTTTAAGAATCAAACACACAACAATCAAAGTCAGTTAAAACATCATCATCACGAGAGAAGAAGAAGAAGCTTCAACAATGTTGATATTAAAGAAAAATAGATGCATGTGTCCTGAATCAAGAGAAGTATTTAACTGATAACAATAATAACTTTATCACATAAACGAATGCATTCAGTTAGGAAATGATGTATCTGTGTGAGAGTTCCTCATCCTCTTACCCTCACAGCTCCTGCCGTCCTCATATATATAATATCCAGGTGGACAGATGCAGGAGTAAGAACCGGGGATGTTGATACATCTGTACTGACACAGAAACTCAGAGAAACTGCACTCATCCAAGTCTGCACGAAGCAAGAAACAGAATTAACACCTATCAGAAAAGGACATCAGCACCAACAGGGCATCAAGCTCAACCAAGCCCGCCTCAATATGTCTGAGTGAAGTCTGCATGTTTTGCATGGTCTCAGTCATGCAGCTTGCTCTTTCTAAACTGTTTTATTCTGTTCAATTCACCTCTGTCATACGACTTTTTGCTCCTTTTTACAAATATGCATCTCAGTTTCTGGTTCTTTACTGACTCAATTGTTCACACTGCTTCAAAGATAGATTAATATTGATATATCAAAAGAGTAAAATCTTCCTCACCGATGCAAGTAGTACCATCAGATGCCAGCTCAAATCCTTCGTCACAGTTGCACATGTAGGACCCGTAGGTATTCAAGCAGCCATGGCTACAAGGTTCATCTGCACACTCATCCACATCTGGAACAACAGAAGCTGGAAGCTGACAACACTGGTACACGATATACAAGTGTTTCTTTTCCTGTGGTAAAGCCGTGGCCCGGTGCTTGTGAATGTGTTTACCTTGACAGGTCCGGCTGTCTGGATTGAGGATGAAGCCAGGATTACAGGAACAAGAATATGAGCCGGGCACGTTGGCACACAGCTGCTGGCAGTAACCATAGCGGCATTCATCAATATCTGGTACCAAAAAGGAAAAAAAAATGAAGAAAATTTTGACTGACCATAATACATATTGTGCTGTAGGCAAGTTTACTGTAAGTAAATATACGATTAGTGTTTTGATTTGAACAGACTCTGCTGAGCTGCATTGCACCACAAAGCATGAAGAGGGCGCTGTTCTTCTTTTCTAAATGAGGACAAGTACATGCAGGGACTTTTCTGCATTATCCAACAGTGATCATAAAAATTGACATGATCTCTGATCTATGCTTTTTACAGTGTTAGTACTAAGATAATAAATTGCTGGTTTTGCATGTCCAAGACAACATTTGCATTTATTAGTGCTTGAAGAAGAAAATCAAAGCTTTTGCATCACTTGGTAATACCAGAAAGTATTGAATTAAAATGCTCAGTGCTTGTTTTCCTAGCTTCCTTTCATTTGATAATTTGCACAAAGTAATGGCAAAATTGAGCGATGGCTGAACGATAATAAACCGACTCTGAGTGCACTTTGTAGAGTATTTGCAGTGATGCAATGTGAATTCCATTGGGTAAAGTGTATTTTTAATATATGCTAATGTTTAAAGAAGTTTTAGGGAAAAACTGACTCACCCTGACACTGTCCACCAAGGAGCCAGTAACCTTCAGTGCAGGAGCATGTGTAGCCACCTGCTGTGTTGATACAGACCTGGGTGGGGTTACAGTGGTGAGAGTTTGTCTCGCATTCATCAATGTCTGCAATTTAAAAAAGGGGGGGAAAAAGAGGAGAAAAAATGAACAAAATTCAACAAAATTAAAAAGGACTCTCAAAGAGGCAGAAGCGACATAAAACAAAAAAAAAGTTTAGCACATTAACCCAAAAAACATGTTTTTCTGTTACATTTGGCAGCTAGCCCTTCAAATCGACACAAAAGTAACACCCAGAGAGACACTTTCAAAGTTTGTTGAGAGTTAGGAGAAGAGTATCACGTATCATCTAAAGTATTTCATAAAGTGAGGCATGGATATTTTTAAAATGACATCAAAGTAAACAGATGAGATAAAAACACACTGATAATATTGATTTCCATGTGGGAGTTATGCTTTTTGCACTTCTCGGACGTCAGTAGATTTGATTCCAAACATTTATGTTTAGCCTTCACCTCACCTTTTATTGACTAACTCCAATGCAGGATTTGATGCTTATGTGCCTTGCTCGAAAGCACATCAGCTAGTGAAATTTTTCCTGCTGGCTTGGAGATTGCACCAGCAATCTTCTGTTTGAAAATCAGTTTATCCAACACTCAGAGTTTCATCGCCCTGTGCTTAAAAAAACCCCAAACTCTTAACCAAACAGTTATCATTTCAGCACTTATGATCGTTTCTACACAGATTTGCAGATTTCTCAGATTACAATCTGAATTCCATCAACGCCCCTGGAGCAGCTCACACGCTAAATCATAATGCCCTTATGAGGATACGACAAATCGCAAATTCCAACTTCTGTTTATGGTTCTCAGACAATGAAGTCACCGATCTCTAGAAAACCGGTGGGGGGAAGTGGGTGGGAGCCTGGTTTTTTGTTTGAACAGGCAGCTATGATAAGCGATAACGTCTGTCTGTGGGACCGTTGCCCTTTATGCCAGCTGGGACCACTGGCCCTTCACGAGGGTGGAGGAGACCCGGTGCATTAGGCCACCGGCCAAAAGCTACACAGCCACGGCACCTGCTTACAGTTTCCAGTGAAAATCTCCCTGAATGCCCCTCATCTGCACCCCATGTGTAGACCTTACTGCAGATCTCCAACATATACACACACAAGCTGCAGGAGCGTTTCAGTTAACCTCCTTATATAGGCTGTTTTATGAGCTGCCCACGAGTTTTTGGGGTTGCTGACAGTCCTGATCAGCTTCAGAGAAGACATGACAGGGTCAGATGTAGATCCAAAATAAAAAAAAAACTCCTGTGCAGAAAGATCTTGACCACATATGGCTGCACAAACTGATTCAAAATAACAGTAAGTGACACAAAACCAGCTTGCTTTTCTTTATCAAGATTCCAATGAAAAGATTATAAAGGATAAGAGTTTATAGCTTCACTACCAGAAAAATGCTCTGTTAAAAGATGAGCTGTTGTGCATTTTTGAGTTTACCCACGGGTTTCGAAAGTCCATAAGGCTGGATACTTTTCTCAAGGCACAACGGAGCATGTAAATCCCTGGACTCCAGTAAAAACCTGAAAATCCCTAAAACTTGAGTTATGAGCTGTAATGAAAATTACAGTCTCTAGTGGGATGAAAAGCACAGCATCTGAACTTTAATGGTTTCTTTTTTTTTACTTGGTAGAGAATAAAAAGTGTGCTTAAGCAGTGACAGTTTTGTACAGATTTTTAGCAGGTGTAATTTTTATAATGTTAATTTGATCTATCCTCATCTATCCTAATTATTGTGTGTTTGTCTAGAAAGTAAACTGTAAGCACTTTTATTAGTCCATTTATTAGAGTTAGTGTGGTTAAATAGAGTGAAAGCTCAACCTTATTCAACACCTTCAGGATGAAGCTTATCATTGTCCCCCCAGACTGGTTCCATTTGAAACACTGACATGCCATTAACTCAGAAACAAAACCACAATTGTTGCAGGTTCAGACGGGAAGTCGCAGTCTGTGTATTTTCTGCCCCACAGCAACATCAATCAGCAACTAATTACATCACTGCACACACAGTGTGCCAGCCTTCAGGGGTATGCTGAGTCGCAGCCTCCACAGAGGCATGCCTGTTCTCTTGCCCTGGCCTGGGCACAAATTTGGCAGCATATGACCTCATTTTTGGCACTCACATGGTGTAGTTTACCCAAACAATGTTGCGAGCTGATTCCCTCACGGACCTTCTCCCCTACAAAGAGGGGGGAAAAAAGTCCATATTTGTCCATGAGTGAACCTCTAGAGCTCTCTTTGGAGGGGGAAAACTGTACCACATATGTACATTTTCCTCCTCCCAGCACAGTCATGGCTAATTTATCCAAAATGACAGGAAAACACCCCAAATGGACCTTAAGGAACCCATTTTTTAACAGCTTGTCCCTGCTAGACCCGCCAAGGAAAGTTTGTGAAGTGTTTATCTAACAGCTGGGAACTCTTGAAGTTGTGAAATTCAAACAGCTCAATTAAAAAAGATGACATTTATTCGCTTTGAAAAGTTAAATGGGTCTCTGGGTCGGTGGGGTGACAGCAGACAGGCTGCGGCACAAAACACTAAAGAACATCTGTCCCTGTGATGCGATGGATTCATGTATTTCTCTGGATTTTAACCACACTGAATTCCTATTCTTTATCCTTTTCGACTGATGTTACCTCGTTCATAGCTTGACTCTAATATCTGATAAACAGCAGCAGGTGGCAGATGTCAAGACTGTATTCTGCAAAACATTCAAATGTTTCAGCCACTGCTGAAATCCGGTTAAGAGCCTCAAGACCAGAAACAGCTGCAGCCGCGGATAGACACCTTCCACCCTTATATCTCCTGCAAGCAGTGAGACAGTATAAAAATGAGCTTTGGCAGAGACGGGTTGCAAAGCAACTTGCAGATGTGCAGTAACTTCACGCCCTATGATGAAATTTGCCAGGTGATTTCTGATCAGCTAATCCACAGGGATCCTGGTTGAAATTTGACTTCATAACTTGCCTGAAGTAACTTTAAAGATGCATTAGAGTGGCAGCAGAGGGAAACGCTGCGATTGTGTTAAGAAAAATACTCCAGAAAATCAAATATGACATTCCTATGTCAGTTAGGGGGTTAGAATCCTCTTAAAGGGTAAGGTAATTAACAAGAGAGGTTACAAGATGACCACACATTTTAATGGAAATTTATGAATAATTACGTCTTCAGTCCCCAATTAGAGTTGCTGAATTTCAGTGTTTTTCTTTGTTTGTTTGTTTGTTTTTAATAGAAAGGCTGGGATCTAAACCCTGCTTGTGGTTACATTCCCTCACTGTGATGAATGGGTGCAAATGTTGACCCACCGTGAACAATTAAGCAAGCGCTTTGTCAGACTGATGTAAGCAAACGACTGAAAACAATAAGCAACTTTGAACTTTCGGGGACTTCTGATGAACACGAACAAAAGACTTGGCTCGAACAATGTTTACTTCATTTTTGAAATTGGCTTGAACGGAAGAATTGTGAAGTTTTCAGCAGAATTTTTTATGAGTCAGTCTCGTATGACTGAACCGCAGCTACGGGAGTTCTCCTGAGCCCAGAGTTAATACTTTCTGCATGCGCAAATATGCAAGCGTCCAAGTGACATCAATTTCTAATGGATGCTAATTTCGTCATCAGAGGTTTTACATGATGATTTGCGCAGACAACCACATACCCTATGATTATCAGGATTTAACCCGTTAGCAATTGCCAGATCATTTCTAAATAGAGTAGTGACTGCACTGGCTTCCTCCAAATGGACAAAAAAGGTTGTATAATAAGAAAAACTGTAAGTATAATCCTGGCTTCAAGCACGTGACCAGCCCCATATAGAACAACTGGGGAATGAAATCAGACTGAAAAACCTGCAGTACATTTATTCCAGTGCTGTATTAAAGTACAATGTTGAGTTACAATACTTTGCAAAAGTCTTGAGCTGGCTCTCATTCCCTTATATTTTGCTTCCAAAGGGCCTGACCTTTTTTAAGGGTTCTTGAGCAACAGTTCTCCAGTCTTTCAGAAGGTCATTGGCTGCTTTTTCACATGAACATTTTCAGAGGAATGTTTTTTGTGTTTGTTTGTTAGGCAACATGGACTTTTGTAATTATTAAAACAATTATTCAAACATAAAAAAGGCACCTAACTCAAGGGATAAACCAGTGTTTTTTCAACAGATCATAGACAACTGAGCAGGCACTTTGTTAACAGCAGCCTGTCTCACAAAAACACATAATTTGTTCAAACTTCTTTAGTTGAATTCTAGAAATTCCAAAGATAAGGCAGTTTGACAGACATAAAGAAGTACTTTTCCACTATTAGCAGCTATTAGTTGAAAACTTGTCACACCTCAGCATGGTGTCCAGTCTTTCCTTTAAAAAAATGTAGCTAACTGCACAAATGGAGGACAGTATTTGAATGTCATGTCATTGGGAAACGGGAAAAGCACCATCAGAATTAAATCCAACATGAAATACCATCTGGAAAGCTTCTGGTTGACAATAAATTCATTTTTCAGCATGACAATGTTCCCAAACACACTGCCAATGCAGGAAAGGCATATCTGGACAGACGAACACACAATACTATCAGTCATAAATTGGCCTCCCTAGAGTCCAGACCTCAAAGTTACTGAAGCAGTGTGGGATCATCTGGACTGAGAACAGAACAAAAGGCAGCCAACATCCAAAGAAGAGCTTTGAATGTCCTTCAAGAAGCCTGGAGAACTATTCCTGAAGAGTACTTACAGATATAACAAGAAATCTTGCCTAAGAGACTTCACACTGTGTAAAGAATAAAGGTTTCATTTTAAATATTGACTTTCAAGCTTATTCAAATTGTACAAATTGTATTTGTGCCTTTATTTCTGTTTTAATAAATTATTGCAATTATTTCTCATTTTCTTCTCAAAATATAAAGAAATCAGGGGTAGCTCAAAAGGTTTACACATTACTATATTCTACTTGTGGTAGTAAATATCTTAGACCATTGAGAACAAACTGCAGAATCCTACTAACCGTTACAGGTGCCATCCTCTGCAAGAGTATATCCCAGGATACATTGCGCAGTGCTGATCACTCTTGGGTAGCTGGGCTCCACAGATCTTGGGGGAGATGGGACGAAAGAGTCTGAAAATCCACCTGAAGGGTCCGGGTAAACCGGCTCAGGCACTATGGGATCCGGTCTGTAAGGCTGGTTGTACAAGTTCCTCGGGAGGCATAGGTAACCTCCGTTCTGGTTCACACAGCGCATGTCTCCTCGGCAAGCATCTGGCATGGTACGGCACTCGTCCACATCTGGAATACAGAGCCGTGCACTGATAAGGACATTCTTGCATCCGGAGCATGTGTGAATCTGTGCTACAACCCATCCCGGTGCTTTGGGATTTGATTTTCTTGCGCACAATGTGTTTGCATTCCAGACACGTCTCTTTGTTCTATAAATTTAACTTTTCGATGCAAAAAAAAAAAAAAAAAAAAAAAAAAAAAAAATCCACAGAAGTGATGCCACTCACCTATACACTGTCTTGTTCTGCGTTCAAATGCGAAACCTTCTGTGCAGGTCTGAAGAGAAGTGATCAAAATGCGGTTTGAGCATGTTTTTTAACGCATTCATTTGCTGAGATGTCAAACTAGTATGAGAAGAATATATGTTATAATGCATAAATATATTAGCTTGCATCAAAGACGCATTTGCACCTTTATTGGTTTTGGTAAGTTTCAGAGCAACTTTTTTAGTTAAGTGATCACAGCCTTAGACTAAATGGATGAAGGTGTCTTACCTGTCCGCGCCCAGGCTGGACACAAAGCAGAATAAATACCAGAGCTGTCAGCATCCTGCAAAGAGGAAATTTTACGTTTTTAAGCCCTTCTCGGAAGGAGTTCGCAGAAGAAAACAGGAACTTGATACAGGCATTTGTCACATATTCATTCAAACTTGCAACGTAAGTTAAAAAAAAAAAAAAAAAAAAAAAAAAAGTCCGTTACGCAAAAGATGCCTGCGGAGAAAATAAAGTGGAGACGACTGACCTTGAAGGAGAGCAAAACCTGAGGCCACGTCCTTCTAAATGCATGGTTTACGACTCCAACTGAGTTCTCTCAAAGGAAAGATTTGAAACGACCCGTAAATTTGAATCCCCTCGCCACTACTCAGCAGGACTCTCACCACCACCCCCAACTATGCGCCTTTACGCGAAAGCCGACACCAGGTTTTCATTAACCGCTGCCTGGTCGAGCTGAAGCTCCAGTACATTGACCAAGTGTTGGAAGAATGCTTTTTCAAAATGGACTGTTCTGCTTCTTCCCCGCTCTGTCGGCGCTACAGATTATTTAGCAATGCAAATTAACGGGCCCCCTCCGAGCACTTTCCCAACAGCTGGATTCAATCAGGAGAGCCAGCCCCCTCCAGTCAGAGCGCACGGAGACGGCGGCCCCACAGCGGCGCGCTCACTCGGGCAAGCGGCTTCTCCTAGGCGGTTAGGACGCAGAAAAGCATAAAGCTTACACACAAAGTGTCTGTTTTCCAAAGATATAAACAGCCCAGCCCACCCCCTCACCCCCTTCCCCGAGTTGAATGACACTGCACATCTGGCGCAGGAAACGTACTCTGTCGCGCTGTAGTAGCCACATGTGGTTCAGATGCCTAAAATCTGGCGTTAAAATAATTTAAAAAACAAAACAAAAAACGGTAAAAATGACAAGATGCACACAAACATGGGGTCAGCAGTGGTACCTTTATTTGATGTTAAAATTCCAATTAATTCACGGGTACTAAACTTAAGTAAAGCTCATCAAAGTCTGAGGCAACCCGACTCCTTTTAGACGCCCAAGTGTTTCAGATTTTACATCTACAAAAATTCTTTTTAAGGAGGATTTACAGTTTGTACATTTAATCATTACACCTGGAGAAGCCCTGTAACATTCCTTCTGCAGCAGCTGATTGATGTCTATACAAAAATGTAGAGCAGTTTCCGCTACTGTGGTCCTTCTAAATGTGCAATTTTGTAAATATATTTTTTTATATTATTTTTTACAATCCTGATTATACAACTATGAAATTAGGAAAAAAGACAGGCACTTTTTTACTTCCACAACATCCTCAGTGCCTATAAATAGAAAACAAAATAACACCACCCATTTTTACACATATATATAACTATATAATAGTACTGTACTTAAACATAAGAGCAGTCTCAAGCTTCCGATCAACCGCAGTCAGCAGTTATAGCCATAATTACAACGCTTATTGCATATCACAGTCTAGCCGTCTGGAAAAGACAAGATTTCTGCAGAAATGTCTTTATGGTTTTAACAGATGTACTGAAACCACATAAATCTCTATGCAGGCTGCTGCTGCCAGAGTGTTTCAGGCGAGTCCTGGATAAGAAACAGCTCACTGCATTGTTGAAAAGAAAAATAAAAGTATTCAACAAATAAAAAGTTGTCCTGTGAAGGACGTGCTTCCTCTTGCTAACAGAGGTGATGACTAGATTCAGCCCACTTGTATTGTACTGCGCAGACGGAGCTGAAAAAGGTCACTTGTGTTCAGATGTGGTGCGATAAATAAAAATCATAATGTAACTCAGATGACCAGATCTTTGAAAACTCTCACTCTGAATGACTCAAAACTTTAAAACGCTCCGATCCTGCATCGTTTTTGAAGGTAGAGTCTCACCATTGATCACTTATCAATAATTCTGAGTGGGAAACACTTTCACTGGTGTGTAAAGGGAGAGTCTGTTGCATAGAACAGTAATTGCAAGTGAAACAGAATCTAAAAAAACCCCAAAGAACTAATAACTTCGTTTTAATCATCTCCCCGAAATGGTGACATTAAGCCTTTGTGAACGCTCTGCTCATTTATTTTTGCAGAAAGTAAAGAAAGCAGCAAAAAGAAGCAGATCTGCTCCAAAATCTCAGTCTTTGTAGTGTAAAACTTGTGTTGGCTAAATTAAGACATCTGTGTTGCACTCCTCACAGGGCCGATCACTGCTTTAACAAGTCTTTGAGCACGGCTCCACCGCTGGCCTCAGCTGAGACTGGCACAGGAGTGAAGGTGGGCAGGGTGTCAGAGATGGGCTTCATCAGCAGGTGGCCTCCTGGGCCCCCAGAGCCGGAACCAGCCAGCAGAGGCACCGCTGCAGAGCGAGGGGCCAGGAACGGATTGGAATCACCGACTCGCTTCAGGGAAACTGGAGCCCCTGAGAAGAAAGAGGCTTAAATTTAAATAAAGCTGGATGCGTGAAAGGAAATAAGAAGCAAGTGTTTTTCTTTTAAGTGGGCCATTTACCTGCGGCCATGCTGGAAGTGCCGCTGCTGGTTCTTCCCGCAGGTGGGGCGCTCAGAGGCTTGATGTCATGAACCGGAAGCTTTGGTGCAGGCAGAGACGGAGTCGACTCCATCTCCAGAAATTTCACAAACATCTCTGAGAAGGACTGCAACAACAAGGAACATGACAGTGAGTGAATGACATGTTTTACTGAGCCAAATGGGGAAATTCTTCCTGAAAACCAAAGTAAAGAGCTAGCATCACAGTAGCATCCTGGTAAAAAAATAAGATGAAATTTTCAAAAAACGTATTCTCTTATTCTTTAAATGTGGATTCTTCACAAGCACTAATATTAAAAAAAGCATTTATTTTGCTAAAAAGTAGTTTTGTGTTGTAAAGGGTTTTATTTATAATTGTTGCTATCATCTCAGCCTTTTGCACATTTCTATATCATTCTGTTCTGTCTGGTGTTGTACCGTCTTTGTTTTTTGCAATTTTTGCACATTGCACTTTATGTAGTCCTGTGTTGATTGTCTGTTATATGTCATATGTGGCACCATGGTCGTGGAGGAACGTTGTCTCGTTTGTGTACTCTACCACTGCACGTTCTATACATTTTGAAGACATTTTAGAAGTTAAGACCTTGGATCAAGTCTGCGGACTGTTTTCTGTTTAAAATAACAACTAAAAAGTCATGTAAAAAATAGTAGGACTGGGGGTTTGTGGGTTCATGTGTGGTCTTCTGTCAGAATTATGACTTTTAGTTATTTATTGATTTTGTTTGAGACTAATTGTAATTGTGGCTATTAAGTACAGAACGCTTGTCAGTATTTCTCTTTAATGAATCCTGTGTCAGTGCTACACTGCATGGTGATGAAAGACAGTTTAAGGAACTGTTGGGCTGGGTTCTATTCTTCAGGGCAAAATATATACAGTGAGAACTGTGAATCATGTCTTACAGAGTTGAGCCCTTGGCCACTGGTGGGTCTCTGTGGAGTGTTTGGGACACTTTGTGCTCCTCTGCCTCCCAACCAGTTTGATACCCATCCAGTAACACCGTGGCCCCTGTCCTCCTCCAGCATCTGCAGGTAGGAGAAGTGCAGATAAATATTTGGGATATTTAGAACAAATACACAGATTTGCACAAGGATGAACAGTGCTGGCAAAGAAAAGGTGACACTGATGATTCAGGATACTTTTTGGAATTTTCTTTTGTCACAAAAGTTTTTTTTTCCTTTCAGCGCTTGCCAAAACTTTCTGGAAAGTTACCCCCCTGTCACTCACTCCAAATCCACACTTTGTAGAAGAAGCTTTACTCACTGTCACACAGTCCTACCTAATCAGAATCATCAGTTCTCTGGCAGGATTTAACTGGACAGAACCCATATAGACTGTATGGATGACAGCATAAGACTTAAAAAGGGGACAAGAAAGGGGGTTAGCTTCTCTACAGAGACAGATTCTGAAAACTTGCCTGGTTTTGTGGGACACTTGGCTCCCATAAACACGAGTTGAGTGGAAAATTTAAATAGCATTAACAGGAAATGAAGAAGGGATGAGGAAAAAAAGCAGAATGATTTCCAACACAATAAAATGGCTTTTCTGAGGAGTTGTAATCGCATTGCCCCTCACTCTGTATCTGTTTTCTTTTAGGAGGGTTGGATAATATACTTGGAGTACTCTGGCGGGAGCCCTGTGGGAATCCCGCCAGAGTACTCCAAGATCTGGACAAGAAAATGCTTTTTTTTTTTCTTCCCAGGGCTGAGCTCCGAGAGGATTTTCAGGGACTGCTGGAGTCAAAAGAAACTGTTGGACAACTTTGTAGTTGACTGAACGATATCTGAAGGACATCATTACCCAATTCATCCTGTCAAAAATTTAAAAAAGGCCTGTTGACAGAGTGTCAGTGTGACCTGTGACGGAGAATGCAAATAATGGAATCAGCCACTGAACTAAACTAATATTGATCAGCCTGACATAAATGTAACATTTTGTGAAGCTGACATAAGTAATTTTTTTTGCCAAAAGTGTGCCAACGCAGCGTTAACGGTGGAACATTTAAAAATACTACACAGGTGCAATTAATATTTGACTCATTTTAAACTCAACTTGCTGGAGTTTCTTCTACAGAAAAAGGTGTCGCTGGAGAATCTTTTTAAAATACTGATGGAAGAGGGAGTACAGAAGGCAGAAATTCTCCTTTTATTTTTCCTACTGCTACATTCGTCTCCCTCTGTAAGTGCTGTCTGGGAGTCCCATCATCCCACGTGGAAGGAGATGCTCACAAACTCAAGCCTGCAGGACTTTGCATATGTAACTTTCCTGTTATCATTATTTCATCAATTGTGACAAGATCCCCGACAGCACTGCCTGAAACGCAGCCCCGAACCATGACAGAGCCTCCACTGTGTTTTACAGATGGCTGCGGACACTCACTGTTGTTCTGCTCTTCTGACCTTCTCTGTACTTATTGTTGATGACTGAGCCAAAAAAAAAATCTAATTTCATCACTCCGTAAGACCTGTTGTTACTGATTTTCAGTCCAATTCTTGTGTAATTTGGCAAACCTCATCCTTTTCTCCCCCTTTCCCTTCCTTAAAAAATGAATTCTTGACATTCACATTTCCACTGAGACTGTGGTGGCGGGTGTGGTTTTGGCTCGGCTGCAGGAGGAGATGTGGAGAGGAAGGTTCAGAGGTTCAGTGTTAAGGAAAAGCTGAGTGGCACAGCTGTCGCCCATCTTTTAATCAACCTCATCTATTTATGCAGTAGCATGTTAGGCATGGACACTCATGTAAGTACAGACAGCAGCTAGTTGATGATTCTATGAATGCACATAAGAGTGAAACACACCTCGCTGGAGTGTAAAGTGTAAATATAATAATAATAGTGAAAAGATGAGTCCATGTGTGAGTGTTTGGGAACCCACAGTAGACAAGAGGCCAATCTGATGTAGACGGATCAACAAAAGAGCCATGTGTCATGTGTCAGGCCTTTGTTTGATTTCTTTTCCCATTTCTTAAAGACATGACTTTCAAATACTGCTAGTAACAAAATGTCTAAAGACACTGTGTTTTGTTCAATTGCCTGTAATGTGTAGACAAAACTAGTTCATCCCTTGAATTAGGTGCCTTATAATGCTATAATGGTTCATAGGTCAGTGTGAAGTGGCTAAACAAACAAACACACACAAATACATTCCTCTGAAAATGTTCAGATACAAGGACTGAAAATGATTGAAGAAAAAAAAAAAAAAAGGCAGCTGATGTCCAAAGAAAAACTTTGAAAGGCCTTTAGATTACTGGAGAATTATTGCCCAAGAGCATTTTAAAATAATTACAACAAACTGACTCATTGGAAGGAAAATATGAAATGATGAAGGGTGGGTCGAGAATTTTGCACGTATAAATCTTTAAACACTTAATTAATTTGGCAATTAACCAACATTCAAAACGTTTTAGTGATTACTGCAGGAAGCATAAGGATGTTAAAGAGTGAGTTTTATTTTTAATTCAACAGACTTTCATTTTTTGGTTTTCTACTAATTCAACGGAGTCCTAAGAGAAGCAAACCAGCTGCTACCGGACAGACGCTGTCGCATTGGTGTCACTTCTTTATCAACAATGCTTACTAACCTTTTAGGTAATTGGACTTTTTGCAAAAAAATCTATGAAACAAAATGATTATTGTCAGTCCAGAAATCTCTCACCTTTTCAACATCTTCTCGGTTTAGACCCAAGACACTTCCCATGAGCTTTAGCACATCGGCACGCTTGGTTTTGGGCGTGTGGAAGTATCCTAAGAACAAGTTACGCATCAGGACCCTGCAGAAAGAACAACATGGGCAACAATGCTGACTGATGATGTAATTCAAGGTCTTAAAAAAACAACAAAAAAACCCCCAAAGATGTGGCTATGATCCATTTTTATGCAGCTGCATGAACAATACCTAAATTCAAAATGCATCAATCTTCATCAAAGCTTATTTATAGCACTAAACACTATATTGGCTAGAAGGGTACATTTCTTTCCCATAATTGCTGCAATCCTTTAAAGACCACGTATCTCTAAAATAATCCAGTTTCCGTGAACTTAGTACAATTTGGAGGGATTTATGTTGCTAAAGATGGAAAGTATTTTTTTCAAGCTAGAAAAAAAAAAAAGAATTCAATCACTTCAGTTTAACAGAAAAGGTTTAGTTTGATTCACCTGGTTGTCCCTAAATGGGAACAAACTGCTTCAATCATAAGCTTGATCCTCTCAATTTCACAGTTAAAAAAAAATGAGAACTTGAAAGTGGGAAATCTACCTGAGGATTTTAGAATAATCCATTAAAAACAATGGAAAAATGTGATCATAATCTAAATAAACTGGAACTAATATTTAACAGAAATGTACTTGAAACTTACTTGTCTATTTTACCCTCTGTGCTGTTCAAAAGGTTCATGAGTTTCCTCTGTGCCTCTTCCAGCATCTCCTGCCTCACATCCACTGCAGCATGGACACAAACAGAGTGACAACTTTAACAGTAATGTTCAGGCCTCTACTGCACATGGGCCACTTTGTGCCTCTTGTGCTTCAACATCTGCAGTGAAACCACAGTGACACAAGTTACAGACTACTCTAATCCTTCTTGATTAAAAATATAACAACGACTGCACAAATACATTTTTCTCTCCCGTTTATCAACAGATGTAACGACAAATGGTAAACGACAAGCAATAAATTGTACTATTTTGTAGGAAATTAGGATAACACAACAACAACAAAAAATAAAAATGTGTACGTTTTCTGGCTAAGGTGGAAAATACAGTGGAAAAAAAAATGTTTGGCAAAGTCTTAAATGAGTCAGAAAAACTTTCAACAAGCTGTTAGTGTTGCAAAAAGATCTGGATTTACAAAGATTTCAGGCTATTTTCTGAATCTCAGATATGTTAATCTGTGGTTCAAATGACAGAGCAATGCTCCACAGACATACCGAAGCTAGACTGTTCAGTGCGTTCTCAAAGTTAATCAACTATTTTTAGACACAATGTAAATTTTCATATAGGTGACTGATTTGTAAAGAAAATATAGCGCCTCGTATCAGGTCTGGACAAAGTCTGAACAGCCAGAGAGCAGTAAGGAAAAAAACAACAGTCTGAGAATTTGCTGTGACGTAATGGTCATATCTGATAGGAATGAAATCTGCTGCAGAGTGTGAAACAAAGAATGGCTTCCCACGTCAGAGAATTACAGTTTCACTCATTTGGTCCTTTTCTTGGCTTATGCAAGGGAGGTAAGTGTTTCTTCAAAGGCTGGCAGGTAGATGCCTTCCACACGATCTTTAGAAATTGCTGTGATCTTTAAACCGACAGCCGTTTTATTGCAACCTCACATTTTTCAGTAAAACTGGAAAGCTGAGCTTTATACAGTCTGATAAAGACACCATTAACACAACATTTATAGTTGAGATTTTAAAAAATAAAATAAAATAAAAAAATAAAGACATGTTTAAGTCAGTAGGTGAAAGTGCTTGGCTGAAGCTCACCTTGTTTTTTCAGCTCCTCAATTTGTTCCTCCTTCAGATCGAGCTGATCCGTGAGACGAGATGCTGAATCTAGAGCAGCGTTGGCTTCATCCAGGTTTATCTGACAGAGAAAGTTACAGCGTTACATAACGTTTGTCTTACTGATTTTTATTAAAGTGTGACATCCACCGTCTTCAAAGGATTATATGAAATTCTGATATCTAGCAACTTAAAAAAAGAAAAAAAAAATAGCGCTACTGATGCTAATCACAGATATGATTCTCTGACAGGTGATTGGTTGCTGGTTTACCTGGAGAGCAGAAGCTTGGTCCTCCAGTTTCAGAGCTTTTCTTTTCCACTCCTCTTTCTCCTTCTTGTGCTTCTCAAGTTCTGCCGAGTACATGGCTTTCTCTTCTGTCGGAGAAATGCCGATAAAAGTATTACTAAAAGTAATCAAAAAAGGCATTGCCGGGTACACCAACTGTAAAGTGCTATGAGGAAAACACAGTTTTAAATATTCCAGTATAACAGACACACTTATCCTGCTCGAGTCTGGTCTAAACAGCAAAGATCTCTTTGAAGCCCTCAAACTTGCCTTGTTGGAATTGCTCTAGCACCATCTGCAGGTTGGAGAGTGACACTGCATACTGGTTGACTTGTTCCTGAGAGGTTCTGAGTTGGGCCAGCGCATCGTCTCTCTGCTTCACCACCCCAATTAACTGCTCCTGCAGAGACTCTACCTGCATGCTGGCCTGTTGGCTGGAAGAGAGAGGATGGGTAAGTAGAAACACAAAAAGAATGACACAAACAGCAATGTTGGATCCAAGTGAAAGTAACAGTTTTATAATCAGTAAATAATTAGCTGTCAACTAGTGGGTCAAACAACATTTTAGTTTGACAAAAAAAAATTTTTGATCCTACCAGGTTTAAACATGTTATGTAAAAAGGTCAAGGGTGAGGAAAGCCTACTGTAGATGTGTTATTTCTATGCATTTCCACTTCCTTGTCAATGAGAACAAAGTGCAATATACATAAAGAAAATACCTGAACTAATTACAGTAAATAACGAAGAGTTCCTGGTGATTTTATCAGTCTTTAATCAAACCTTTTAAAACACACATTAGTTTTATGCTAACCTGGCACTCTCCACAGCACTTGAGGATGTCGTCAGTCTCTCATCCAGCAGAGCCACCTTCCTGCGCAGCTCTGTCTCTCTGTCCTCTGCAGCGAGGGCTTCTCTCGTGTATGAATCTTCAATCTCCAACAGGTGATTACGCAACCGCTCAAGCTCCAAGTTTAGGCGGTGCTCTTTGTCTCTCACATGTTGGAGCTGTAAACAATCAAACAAACAAAAACAAAAATGGTAGCTTCAGCAGAGTGCCATTTAATTTGAAGCAGCCATGTGTTATTATCAACAGACTAAGTATTTACTTGACTATACAGTTATAAAGGTATATATACACAATGGTTGAGCGACATGATGAAGCAGAGATTCTATACTGCAATAGTCTGAGTATTTAATGAATGAAAACAGAGCATGTATAATGATGCCTGATAATTAAACTTGGTAATGTGGTGGGTTCCATATGAAGTTACAATACCACCACAAGTAAAATTAAGGGCAATGGGTGAATATCGTTCTCTTACCTCAGACTGTAATGCCGCAGTCTCCATTTGCTTCTGCTTGAGTGCCATCATCACCTGATCCCTCTCCTGCTGAAATGCCACAGCTTTGTCCTGCATGGACTTCACTTCGTTCAGGAGCTGATTCAGCTCACCAGATTTACCCTACAAGAGAGCAATAAACAGTAACTCATAAACAAATTTTGAAAGAATAAATGACAAAGTTTCCTGTCTAAAATGACGCTGATGGATACATTTCATTACTAAAATGCGTCAGTATAAATTCAACTACACAAAAAAAAAGTTACTGACCTGCTCTTTGTCTTTGAGCAGTTTCTCCACAGTGGCAGCCTTCTCGCTCATCGCGCTCAGTTCAAACTCCTTCTCTCGCAGCAGGAGGGAAACCTGCATGTTAGTTTCCTGCAGAGCTCTAAACTCTGACTCTTTCTCTCGAGAGCGTGCAGCAACCAGCTCATTCTCCTCCTTTAGCTTCTTCACGTCCATCTCAAGAATGAGCGCACGCTCTTTGAGGTTGGTCACCGCCTGCTTCAGAACCTCGTTGTCATTCTCACGGTTACGCAGTGCTTCACTTACTTGAGCTAGTTGGTCTCCTTTGCTTTTGATGAGCAAGTCTTTCTCCCTCACAGACCTCTGCAAGGCCTCTAGTCTCTCTCTGACCTGTCGAGCCTCCTCTGCCTGACTTCGCTGCTCGCTTTCTGAGGCAGACGCGGAGTTGGAGAGTCTGTGGTTGTTTTCTTGAAGAGTCCTGATCGTGTTTTCTTTTTCAGTCAACAGTGCTTTTAGTTGAACAACTTCTTGCTGCATCTTCTCATCTTTTACAGCAGAATCTGGCTGATGGCTTGGAGCATCAGTACTGAGAGAAGAGCCACTACACTGAGTGGCTGTGACTTCAGGTGTCTGTGTGACGCTGTCCAGTTTACCTAACAGGACATCCTTTGTGCTGCTGAGCTGGGTAATAGTTTGTTGAACCTGTGCGAGCTCCAGACTCAGACTTCCCAATCTCCTTTCCTTCTGCTCGTAATTCTGGACCAGTCGAGCGTAGTCCACTGAGAGCTTTGAGCTACAGTCGCTGTCGGCAGAAACCTGACTCTGCAGTTTGATCAGCTCCTCGTGCAGCTGAGCCGACTCGTGCTGCATGTTCTTGACTGTTGTGATGACCTGCTGCTTCCACTCCTCCATCTTCTTCACCTGCTGCTTCAGTGTGTCCCGCTCCTGCAGTAGCTCCTCAAACTGGTTGCTGCTGACCCCTCCAGAGCCAGCACCGGGCTCTCCTCCTGAGGACTGCAGGACTGTCACCAGCGTTTGGCACTTCTGGGTCAAGGCATCGATCTCTATGTCCTTCTCCCTAATAATTCGAGACAGATTCTGGATGGTCTCCTTGAACATCTCCTGGCTTCCCGAGGGATCGCTCATGTTAGAGAGGCGCTGATTTTCCTGCTGAAGCTTCAACAGGGCTGCTTCCTTTCCTGCCATGATATCCATGAGGCGGTGATAGTCGGACCGAAGCTGGCTGTTCTCTCTGGTCTTCTCGTTAAGCACGGCAATCACTTGCTCTCTCTCCACAGCGTATGCCTGTAGCTGCTGCTGTAAGAACATGACATCCTGGCTGTGTCCGCCTCCCATGGAAACTCTGGCATGAAGTGCCTGAATTTCCAGGTCCTTCTGCATGATCATCTGTGAGAGTTTTCCCACTTCATCACGAGAAACCACCAGCTGATCCAGCTGCCTGGTCAGTGAGAGGTTCTTCTCATTAAGCTGGGTGATCTCAGTCTCTTTCTCCTTGATGCCCCTCACCAGTCTTTCTATATCTACCTTAGACAGGTCATGTTTCTCATTGCCATTCTCCTGATTTAGGGTCTGAGTCTTTTCCTCCTGCAAGATGACCTCTCCCTGCACAGACGGAGAGTTGGCTCTGCTCTGACTCTCACTAAGCTGCTCTACAGCTTGCTGGAGGCGGGTTATCTCTTCGTCTCTGGCCTGGATGAGTCTGTCATAGTTTAGTGTTGTCTGCTGATGGTGAGCACGAGCCTGTTCAATCTCGCTCTGTTGAGCCTGCAGAGACTGTTGAGAGAGAAGTAGAGAAGCTTGCTGTTCCTCAGTGGTTCTCCTCAGAGTCTGGACCTCCTCTTCCAGGGCATTACGGGAGGATTTGAGTTGGGTGATCTCCGTCTCCAGCTCTGTGATGATGTCCAGAGTCCTGGGCTCAGCCAGAGGTTGAGGTCTGCTCTGCTGATCCCTGAGGCGGTCAATCTCCTCTTTCAGATGGCTGTTCTCCTCCTTCATACCTCCCAGCTGCTTATCCTTTTCATCTAGCGACTGTTTGAGCGTTTCAACTTCCTTGGTGAAAACTGAAACCTTATTATCCAGCTCTGTCTGTAAATCCGCAGCATTTTGTTTTAAAGTGTCCATAAAGACATCTTTCTCTTGCAGCAAATCCGTCAGCTGCTGCTGCCCTGCAACTGTGATTGATAGCATCTCATTGGTGTCTCTGTGGTCAGCTGCCACCTGCTCCATATCTCTTTTCAGCTGAGCAATCTCCATGTCTTTCTCCTGGTTTAGTTTGATGGCACGTTCATGCTCAGTCTGCAAAGCAGAAGCGTCCATAGATCGAGCTCGAGTTAACTCCTCGATGGTCTGCTGGTACTGTTTTACCTGTTCTTTTAGTTTGTTCTCAGCCTGCGTCAATTCACCTTCGAGCTGGTATTTCTCCAGTTTTAAAGCTTCAATACGAGTATCCTTCTCCCTCACAACCCTGTTCAGAACACCCTGGCTTTCCTTCAGCTGCTTGGTTAGTTCTTCCACTTTACCCAAGGTCTGCTCATTGTCCGCCTTGAACCTCCTGTTCTCCACCTTCAACTCATAGTCTTCAGACATCACCTTCTCGTGAGAGCGCCTCATCTCATCCAATTCTCTCCTGAGGTCTGACAACTCTCTCTCCTTCTCTGCTAGCGCCTCATTAGCACCCTGTGCCTCACTTGCTCTCTCCCCTCCTTCATAAAGTTTTGCTTTAGCAGCAGATAACAGCTCCTCTTTCTCCTGCAGGGTCTTCTTTAGCTCGGTGACCTCTCTGCGTGCATCCCGGCTCTGCTCCTGTGAGTGTCCCAGTTTGTCTTTTAGCTCTTTCACTGTCCGTTCCAACTGTTGTTTTCCCATATGCAGTTCGTTAAGGGTAAAAGCACTCTGGCTCATTTTCTCTTTTTGGGTCTCCAGCTCTTGCTCAAGTGCCCTTTTCTGGTCATTGGATGTGTTGAGCTCTGCAGTCATTCTTTTCAGCTCTGTCTCAGCCTCTTTCAGCTGTCCAGAGAGCTGCTCTTTCACTGAGATCATATGCTAAAGTAGAAAAACAAACTGTTAATATTGTCTCTACTGTTGGGTTTTGTTGTGTCAAGTTGGACTGTATTTTCGTTTTTGTTTTGTTTTTTCCAAAACAAGATGTTTTTTCAGGGTAAACTATACAGACTTCATATAACTGCTGAGGAAAAGGTTGAGTTGTTTATTGTGTGTTTTTCTAATCAAGTAAAAAAAATTTAAAAGTCCAAAATGTGTCAAGAAATGACAATCTGAGATGCTAAAATGTGACACTTGATATCAAACATCTCTAAATAAGTTGCTGAAATACAAATAAACAAAGAGATAAAGCACCAAAGTCATGCAGACCTGAGTAGCTTCCTGATTTTGTTGGTCTAGTTCCTCCAGTTCAGACATCAGCGTGTCCCGCTCCTCCTCAGTAGCTCTCAGGGTCTTTTCTCTCCTGCCCAGTTCTGCCTTCAAATCATCCAATGACTCCAAATCAGACTCAGCTTCATTTCTGCTGACTAGTTGTTCTTCTGCGACTTTAAGTCTTTCTTGCAGATTAAGCTGTGGACAGAAAATCTGAAACTCACTTACAGAGGCTGAGTACTTTCCGCAACCCATTATTGGCAGGAACCAATCAACAAAACCACCTTTTGTTTTTCTTTGGCGACACTGTGTTGTCTAACTGAGTACTGTTTTTCTTCTTACCACTAACTGACACAATTACACAGAAAACCAATTCAAATAAATTCATGCGACAAGTTCACGGGTGACTAAAATAATATGTATGTACAATATAAACAAACCTTTTCTTGTTCTAAGTCTTCCTTTTCTTGTCTCAGTGCTCCAATAATGGTGTTCAGTTCTAAGATGTCTGCATGCTCGACTTCTTCCTTTGGTTCTGCCTAAAGTTAAAATAAGTCATTAAATCAATTGGAGAAGCCTATGAAGGTGACTCCGGCCATTAAAAGCAAAAACTGCACACCATTTAAATGTATCTGTTGTCCCCATTTAGGTCTTCGTCTTGTGCAACTCTTTTGAAGGTCGGTCTTTCTTTGGTGTCACATTTGACATGCACTAGATCTCCTCTTTCTTTTTTCAAAGGAATGGTACACAACCTCCTTAAATTTGGCAAGCCTGATCCTGTTTGCACTCCTGACCTGATGTGTTGATTTTGTGCTTAGACAATGCAAGCTTTCCACCTGAGACTGCTGTTTGATCTGAGTCACAGCTGGAAACGCAAATCTTATCATCGGTGATGATTTTCAACAAGAAAGCTGAATCAATGTGACTGAAGTCCATCACAAAGTGTTCAGGATTGAAAATCCAGTGTAAACAAAAAGCAGCATAAGCACATGAAACAGTGCAGCACGTCACTAGATGACAAGATTAAAAGAGAGGTAGCCAAACTTGCACACAGATAAAGTTTTTGCTTTTATAGCCAGAGTCACTCAGTTTATGCAAACATGTGCACATTGCTGATCTTCATGCTTACCTCATCCAGGTTTTTCAGTCTCTCTATTTCCTTTTCTGCAGCTAGAAAGTGGACATTTTAGTTAATATACAGATAAGCAATGGCTTAAAATGTGACGCCTATGACAATTTTCTGTATCTACATGTGATCAATATACAGTTCCTACAATAAAAATTAGAATTAGCAATAGCCGCAACATCAATAAAGAATGTTAATTAAGCAGATAACACATCCATATGAATAAGACATAATTTAACACAATGAATACCTTCCAAGCTATTTCTTAACATTTGGATCTCATGGTCTAGCTGGGCTTTTTGCAAAGCCTTCCCCTCCTGCTCTTGTACTCGTGTCTGGAGCTCGGCCACGGAAGCCTGCAGCCGCGTGTAGTTCTGCAGGAGCCCGGTATTCTCTTGCTGAGCGTCATCCTTCTCAAGCTGTAGTGAGGCTTGTATCTTCTGTGCCTCCTCCAAATTGGCAGACAGTTCGGCCAGCTGCTTCTCGCGCTGCTCCGCCGCTTCTTGCAGGGACTGTATGGTTTGATGGAGTTCATGCAGCTTGGAGGTGTCTGACACAGAGGTGGGCTGACCAACACCTGGAGAAAATTATTAAGAGGACCAATTTAATTTGTGTGCGACACCAGAGTTGTGCGACTGAGATACAACTATTTTACATCAGATGCATTTAAATACGTGCCTTGCTCTAACACACTGTAAGAATTTAGGTCATAGCAGATCATTGTTGCAATAAACTCTCAAAACTCTCTAATGGCCCAAGCTTCCCATAGTTATTCCAAAAATGAGCTGACCACTCTGAGTCTGTTCCTCCAGCTCCTCTATCCTCTCCTCGTACTCTGCCAGCTCCTGCCTGTGTCGCCGGGTGACATCTGCCAGCTTCTGTCGCTGGGCATCCTGCAGAGCTGCAAGTTCATGCTGGTGTTCATCCACCTCACGACTCATCTCATCTCGAAGCTCCTGAAATGAAAATCCCACAGCAGCAAAGTTAGAAAAATGCAATATCATTTGTACAGACAACAATAACAGACCATAACATTTACCTTAATAGTCCTTTGAAGCTTGAGAATCTCACTGTGGTTGCCATTACCAGCTCCTGTTGCTGTTGATGCCTGTTACAAAAAATAAACAAACAAAAAAAGTGTGTTCATGTGGTTATTTAGAAAAATATTCAAATGGTAAAACCATCTGTTCCATAGTCATTTAATTCTTCTGTAGTCTTACCTGAGACATTCGTCGCCAGTGTGCTACCTCCGACTCCAGACGCATGACTTCTGTCGACAGCCTGTTGATCTCTTGCTGCGACCAGATCACGTCGCTGAGGTCCATTTCTTCGCCATGGAAGCCCTGGTGAGATCCTGGGTGACGTGACAGGAAAGAGGAAGCAGAAGAGGAGGTAGTGGACGATGACGTAGTGGTTACGGGCAACATCGCAGGGCCAGCTGAAGCAGACTGGGCTGATTGCTGCAGCTTCTGGACTTCTTCTTGAAGCCCACTCTGCCGAGCTTTCAGGTGACTGATCTCCACCTGAAAGGACAAAAATTACAAGACTTTCCCTAAAAGACTTCCAAATGAAACTGGGTTTGTCTTAGTCTAACAAAGCACAAATGCCAAGTTTGATTTAGGCTAGACTTAATTTTGCCTCCACCAGTGTTTGAATGTGAGAGTGAATGAATAATGGCATTGTAAAGCGCTTTGGGTGCCTTGAAAAGCGCTATATAAATCCAATCCATTATTATTATCATTATTAGACATATATGTCTATTTAGAGCTAAAATTCCTTTCATAAGTAACTTTCCATTGCAGATACATTCCCAGTGTTATT